TTAAAGTCCACCTCACCCAATTTTTTTTATATTTGTAAAGAAAAGACTTTTGTCATAGTAACAACAATTTGTACAAACAAATTTGATTTCGTTTATTTAAACTACATTTTGAAGCGAAAACAACCGCGGACAAAGCCAATTTCGGGATTCCTGTGTGCCTGATCAATGTCTTCGTGATGACGTAGAGGGAGTAAGTCGTTCGAGAGACAACGATAGATACCTACAGTGAAATGACAGTAAAAATCAAATCTGAAACAAGAGAACCTGGAATTTGAACAGCTGTAAATACTACCTACATATATTGAAAGAAGTTACTTACCTGGGGCCGTAAATAACTTTTCCTGTTCCTCGATATTTATCTAGATCTATACGCAACACTTGTTTGTCCAGAATAATCTCTCAACACTTTGGCTCCATTTTTATAGCCAAGACATGAAATAACGTTCAGATCGTCAGACTAATCTCTAGTAGCATTAGATTTGCCGTTTCAGGCTGGATTATCCCACGTTCAGTCTTAGAAAACATAGATTTGTAATGAAATATGTGGAACTTGTACAGTAAACTTTGTATTTGCGGAAGGACGAGTTACTCCATCTACGTCATCAACCCAGGCTCCCTCGCACTCGTCCAAAAATCATTTGGCCGAATTAAACGAGCATAAAAAATATAGAATTTGGAAATTCGAATTTTTTTTATGTGAATTTGTGGTTTATAACTCCTAAACTTTTTTTTCCAACTGTAAAAAAAATTGGGTGAGGTGGACTTTAAATAGTATAGGTCAAATTGCTTGAAGTAGACACCTGATTTTCATCCTGGGTTTCGGCCCTACGCTCTCGTATTCCAAATCGAAGGTCAGATTTGCGGTCAGATTTTTTTAATTTGTTATTCCTGTGTGCAGCAGAACCAACTGTTACAGAGTTATCTACAGTTTTGGTTCGGCTGCACTCAGTTTAGCGAGCAGTGTCTCCCGTCGCGTCGAGAGAAGAACTAAAAAAATCGTCTAACACCAGGTTACTTTATAACTTAAAAAAATTGGAATAAAAAGGTTTTTTTGGTTTGTTCAGAGGGGTCCAAGTCGTGAGTTCTGCGGTCTATAATTTTTATGATAAGCTATCACTTGGTTCAGTCTATGATCATTTGCTTTGCTTTTAGTGCGGGCTCCTTCTGAGACGTCGACAGTGTTGTTGGGYCGGGAAAGATTGACTTCTGGTTAGTATGAGTAATCAAAGTTAGACGGAAAAACTGGAAACGTTAAGATTGAGGACTGTGCTTTATGACAGACAATCACTAGATCCATACTTATTCTTGGCGAAGCATTATGAGGAAACTAAACACGAGTCTCGGGCAGACACAATCAACATTTTGACGCTTTATAGATTGTCATACTGGCAGTGATGAATCATTGCGAGCTTTGGCAATACTTTGAGCAATTGATATTAATATCTTATTAACCGAGTGCGAGGGCCGTACGGGAAGTACGCGAGGGCCATAAAAAGTAGGAAAAAAACGAGGTTCCATAACTTCCCGTACGGCTCGAGCAAGCGAGGTTAATAAGATATTTATTATATAGCATTTTCAGGGAAAAATAGTAAAATTAATAGAGAAAATCGGACATAAAAATACGTTTTCAGTGTTCGTACTTTTCTTGTCATTCAAAATAGAAGGAAAAAAGAAAAGGCTGAGAACCTTGATGGCAAAATTTGGATTCATTTTTGACTTTTTTATACGGTACAATTACAAAAAGAGAGAAAGCGAGCCTTTTTAAGATAAAAAACGTTTTTTCTCGTTTCATCTGGTCCGTACGGGAAAGTATGGCCCGCTTTTTAGCCAAGAAATCGTGTGTTACATCCGAGATATATAATAATAGAGTTTTTTTACCGCGGATGTGAATGATTTACACTTGGCTTTGATCATTTTTCTTCCTTAATTGTTTTTCAGGCCCTTCTGAGACAAAATCGAAGGAAAAAATGACAACAGGTTAGTAGAATAATATTTTAAAAAATATATAAGCAAACGGGCTACCTAAGAATGCGCATCACCCAAACACTGTCTGATTATAGCACATATAATCCGAGCAGAATTGTAGTATAAATTAGAAGAAAGTAATTTCCTGATTGTTATTAATTCCAGCTGTTTTTAACAATTTCAAAACAGAAAAAACCCTCAAAGTAAAGCTAGGCTTTCTTTCTTAAATGTACATATAACTCTTATTATCTCTTTTATGTACCCATCAATCATGCTATACTGAAAATATACGGCTTGAAAATACACAATTTGTTGGAAAAGGTTATTATATTCTACAACGACAAAATGGAATAGGTCTAGTTTCAAAAAATTGCTTTAACTTGAGAGCTGATTTTCATCCTGGGTTTCGGTCCTAGATTCTCTTATTCCAAACTTAAGGCCAGACTTGCCGATAGATTTTTCTTTTTCTTTAAATGTGTTATTCCTGTGTGCAGCAGAACCAACTGTTACAGAGTTATCTACAGTTTTGGTTCGGCTGCACTCAGTTTAGCGAGCAGTGTCTCCCGTCGCGTCGAGAGAAGAACTAAAAAAATCGTCTAACACCAGGTTACTTTATAACTTAAAAAAATTGGAATAAAAAGGTTTTTTTGGTTTGTTCAGAGGGGTCCAAGTCGTGAGTTCTGCGGTCTATAATTTTTATGATAAGCTATCACTTGGTTCAGTCTATGATCATNTAATCAAAGTTAGACTGAAAGAGTGGAGACGTTAACTTGCACGACCGACAATCAGTGTGATGCTTATTCTTGGCGAAACATCATGAGGAAACTAGACACGAGTCTTAGACAGACACAATCGACATTTTGACACTTTATAGATTGTCATACTGCCGGAATAAATCATTGCGAGCTTTGGCAATACAGCACTTTGAAAATTGATATGAATTTGCATAAATTTGTTGTACAGACCCGTAACCAAGGGGGGTGCACTGGGTGCACGTGCACCCCCCCAGAGAAGCTGAAGGTCCGCTCATCTACCTCCATGTTTTTCAAAAATCATATGAATCTTTGTTTTAGATTTATTTGTCGAATTTATCCACGAATCGACCGGATTTGTTTTTCAAAACAAACTATGGATTCGAACCGAATTTATGAAGGACCTTATTTAAGGTGTAGTTCTAACGCACAATCAAAAATAATAAATATAATCAAAAACGGTAATAAGTGTTATAAGTTATAATACGCTGGTGTGTATTTCATGGGATTGGGAAAACCACTCCGACTTTAATTGATACTAAAAAGGAAGCCAAAGAATGGTCCGGTTTAATGAGATGTGTACCCCCTGGTAGAAGTTCTGGTTACGGCCCTGTTGTAGTTTATTTACCGCGGATGTAAATAATAATTTTTGTTTACTTATTTCTGTACTTCAGAACCTTCTRAGGCAACAATGTTCAAGAAAAAAATGACTTCAGGTTAGTAGGAAAATTCACACAATAAAAAAACTGGCCGAGGAACAGATCTCAACTACATATAACATTACTATGTTTATTTTCTTGTTCTTCAGCAGGACCCTATGGGATGTCTGAGACCTCGGGTTAGTAAAAGGACTAGACCAGCATTGACTCTGAATTACACTTGGCTTTGATCATTTTTCTTCTTTAATTGTTTTTCAGGCCCTTCTGAGACAAAATCGAAGGAAAAAATGACAACAGGTTAGTACAATAATATTTAAAAAAAATTATGAGCAAACGGGCTACCTACTTAGAATGCGCATCTGTAACAGATTTTAGCCCGACTGAACGATGTTCTGGTCCTCTGTATGCATAGTAAACTACTTTGCCTATCCACGTTTCCTAACGCTTTTGTTGTTTCCTGTAGGACCTCAGCTGCATGAAGACGAACCGATCCCTTAGGATCTCTTAGGAGTGGGGGTGCTTGACGGAAGAAACCTAAACAGTCAAATCAAAAGTTAATTACAGTATTGAAACAATAGAGTAGTTGAATCGAGAGCACTATATGCTGTGATAGTTGCAGGCGGAAACTGGATGTTTCGAAAAAAAATCATTGTCGCCCCAGACGAGTAGTTCGAGGACGACTATAAAGATTTGAGGAATATCCAGTTTCCAAGGGCAACAAACACATTAATGTACAAGTTGCAATCTACTCTATCGTTTTCATTTATTTTCTAAAGCAGCACTGATAGAAACCCTAAACCAATGAGAGGAGAGAGGAAAATTTGTTGTTGAATTATATATGGATACTCTCATTCTCTCCATGCGACTGATTCGCCGGTTTCACGCATCAAATATTCTGAAATTAAAACAGTTCATTGATACTAAAAATATGTAAGGCATTCCACTAACCTTTTCTACTGCGATCGTGGTATTTGTGGGTTTCGGTTGTACATCGTTTTAATCAACAACAAACCCTCCGCTCTCATTGGTGGAGAGGTTACAGTTTAAATCCGGGCATTATGCCGTGATAGTTGCCCTTGGAAACTGGATGTTCCTCAAAACTTCATAAAGTCGTCCTCTAAATACACTTCTTGGGGCGACTATTTGTTTTTCAAAAAATCCAGTTTCTTCGGTCAGCTAACACTGCATAATGCACCTGATTCAACTACTCTTTGAATAGAGAATGAGCTATTACCGAAATTAAGCTGTCTCAACAAAGAGGAAAGCACTTCTTCATCTCCTTTAGCCTTAATTCACAATTTGTGCTCTTTTTTATAGCTGAAATAGTATTTTATAGTATGACCGTTTAGTCACCCTGTGGCTTGGTGTCCAAACTAGATTTTCACAGAGCATGTTTAGACTGGTTTCCGACAACCTAAGACAAAAATGAATCAGTCACCTCAATATTCATTTTATGATATTTTGTAGTTTGAATGTACAACAATGTGAGTTAGAAACACACTTAGAGTAGGCTCCTTATTTCGTAGTAATGCTAGAATTCATACCTGTATCGAGGTATCAAGGAGCAATTGTAGTATCATCAAGAAATCTTCACCTTATTATATTTCTATATCGTGTAGTGTTAACGATTAAAATATTTCACACACAAAGATTAGAACTACGATGTATACAATACAGCGGTACTTAGCTTGAAAATGTTGAGTACTCAGGAATGCTGTGATATTAATTCATTGGTCGCTCATCGTCGCTATTGGGAGTTTTATTAGTACGTACTGCATGTTTTAGACCGCGTGACGTCCAGCTCCAAACAGTAGTGGAAAACATAAATCAAAATCGACGTGGAGACCACTAGACCAGTAGCAACAAACCATTTTTATCTTGTCCAGGAATGCATTATGCAGCATCACAGTATTCAGTACTTTTTCAAATAA